ACAAAGAATTAGGTCAGATGCAATGCTAAAACCTGTCCATCTAAACAGAGGAAGTCACTTAAATGTATAGAGAAGCTTCATTCTTTAGACAAAAATCATGACAAGTTTATTTTCTAGAGTTTATACCACATATCTAACAATTGGTTCTATGTTACTCAGTTGGAAACTAACTTTGAACTGGGTATCTTCACTTTCACTTACAGCTTACTAACAAAACAACAGTGAGGTAGTTGCTTTTTTAAAAAAAAAAAATTATTTTTTTTTATTTTCAATGTGTGAAGATGCTTTTAAAAAAAAAAATTATTTTTTTTATTTTCAATGTGTGAAGATGGCATACCCTCGAAAACAAGTTAAGTTTCTAATCCCTGCTTATGCTCTGAGACATTCTTCAGGGTTTTAAAACTCTTGACAGTATCTTAAAACCATATGCTTTATGAGATGAGAGATCAAGAATTGTCTTGTTAGAGCTGAAACCATTTATGATCTTTTCCTATTCAAAACATGACCTACTTTCACGGGAAATTTCATAACACTGGGAATACGGAAAATTAATGACAGATATCTGATGCTTTGTTTCAGACCAAGACACAGAACATTCCAATGCTTATTAGGATACAAAACAATTTTTCTTCAAAACACTACTCAAAGTCAATCTGGAAACAAGTGATTTCCCCACCCACATAAGTAGACAATTAAGAATGCTCATGAATATTTTGTTTTCTCTGGGTCAGAGCATATGCCTTTGGCTTGTTCAACTACTTTGATATAGTTGCATCAGAATTAACAATTCTGTTGTGCAGAGAAGTTCTGAGTTTTATCAGAACAGTTTTAGAAGCCATATCTTTTATAATTAAGTCTTTAAAGGCTATTATTTACAAAAAGATTGCTACTTGGGCATTTATATGTAATTATTCCTAATTTTCCTTAACCACTGGAGTATTTTAACACCATCTTATGCCTTTAAACAGCTCAAGGACCTCTTTATGGGATTTAATGCTGTAAGAATGTATCCTATAGTGACTTCTACTCCACTAAGTTGTCTTTAGGGGAAATGAACTTAGTAAGAAATAATTCATATTTAGCCAGGATTCTACAGTTACTAGAGTGGTCACCTGAACTAAATCACAAAGTACCATGTGTTGTATCTTAGAGGTCACTTAAATGCATAGAGGAACACCTCTATTAATTCTCTCAGTGTCCCTTCACTGTAGGCCAGTGAGTAGTCCCACTAAAAGAGAAGAAACTTATTGTATATGTGTTGGTTACTCAGCCTGGATCCTTCTATTTATTTTCTTTCAAATATTGTCAGACTGAAGGGAAGTTGGCATCCTTTTGGCAACATAGATACCTACAAAAGTTATGGAGAAACCTTCAAGCCAACTGAAAATACTTTTCGTTTAAAAAGACCACAAAACAATAAGAGCTTTCATGGCACTTCCTCCCTGGTATATCTCCAGTAATGTGAGTGACATTAAATAAGACTGGGTTTGGCATAAACCTGGTTTCATTTAACCCAATTTAAATCAGACCTAGATTACTCAAATCAGCATGAGCAGAGAATCAAGCTGTCAGAGAGGATCATTTTCACAATAAACCAGTCAATGGAAGATTATTGTATGGACTAAAAAGGGAACAGGAGCAAAGTGTCCTTTGCTGAGAGACCTGCTTTTTCAAATGAAAGCTGAATATGGTTTCTAGCAGCCTTAACAGGAAATTAATACCATGATAATGTAGTTTGTATATATTGATACATCTATATGTGATGCCAGTTAAATAAAAAGTAAATCTCTGTTGTACAATTCTGTTTACACTGCATTAAAATACCCAGGGGGGGAGAAAAGGAGGTTTCTAACTATGTGGAAAAAAAGGCTCAGTAAGGGTCCCTACAAATGGAATGGACTGTTAATAACAATAAAAGTGTTAATTGGAAGCTAATTTGCCTATTTTGTTAGTCATATAGAAACTCATCAGACATAATTATAACTGCAATAAAGACCTCCTCGTTTGGAAATGTAGGAAAATCTTTGACACTAAAGTAGCCCTTACTAAATTTTGACACTAATGTTCAGTTTTCAATTACCATTTTAATTCACTGAGTTAAGGGGAGTGGAAAATTCAAGGCTGAGAAAGAAATGAAGAGTAAGGACAAGGAAACTAATGAATAGACAGACATTAAAGAGGATGCACACTGAGAATTTGTAGGAATATGGGCTATGAATCTGTTAAGAAAACAAAACCCACAAGCTTAAACTGAGGATTTCAATATTAATCGAAACTTAGTTTTCTCCACTTTGCTAAAATATAGTTTAATATAAATGCAAATTGATAGCTTATCTCTGTTTCCTATGGAACTTCCCTTAAAACTACTATTTCCAAATGCAGTTTACTTGGGACACCTCCATGATAGAAAGGTAAATGCCTTTAGAGCCACAGCTGACTACTTATAAGATGGACCACATTTATGGAGTTATAATGCACTATAACCTGACCCACAGCATTCTCAATTAACGTAACAATAATGACATTATCGTATTTTCACACATGTAGAAATGATTTAAAGGCATAGAAGGAACTGTTTTCTACCTCCTCTAGGGAGCCAGACTTCAGATGTCTCTCTGAAGTGCCTTGCATTGCACAAATAGAGGTGCCTGAAACAGAAAAGCTCATGCTTTTGAAACTTTTTTTTCTTTTTACTTTTTTATTTTCCCCAATACCTTGATGAATCTGTTTGTGATGGACAGCAGGACATTTCTACCAAGCACCCTGTAAAACTTATATGCACCATGGTGTCCTGCATTCCTCTTCTTGACTCTGGAATGTTCAATGGGTTGTTTGCCATTGCTGGAGTGGTCAAAATCAAACCCAACATTGAAAAGCTGTACTGTATACTTCAGAGAATGTGCTAAATATGACTGTTTACAAATCCAAATAGTGTAGCCTGAATGTCAATATTAGAATCTCTTTTCCCTCAACATTCTGGTTATACTTTATTCAGCTGTACTGTTGTAGCAACTTAATTTATTAGCAATTGCTATAAGTATTTGGTATAGAAAAGGCAAAAAAACCCAGTTAAGAGCAGTATTTAAATAAAAATACATACTTTATTGTAAGAACATTTTATAGGCTCCAAAAATATAGCTAGATTTGCACTAGAAGTTTTTTCTGATGGCAAATTTCCTTAAATATTCATATGTTCTTGCCAATTATACTTCAGAGGAATAGTTTAAAATAAAACTTGTTTCATAGAAGTGGTAGTAAATATGTGTTTTATTCTGAAAAACCATTTAGAACATAATATGTTACTCTTTGCTAAATTTAGCAGATTCTAATGGAATAATGGTCACCAATATGTAATTGTTACTGTGGGCTTTGCTCTTCAACTCACAGAAGAGTCAACTAATAGAATATATTGAGAATTTCTTTACTGTGAGGATGGTTAGGCACTGGAACAGGTTGTCCAGTGAAACTGTGGATACCTTCACCCTGGAAGTGTGGAAGGCCAGGTTAGATGGGCCCTGAGCAACCTGGTCTAGTGGAAGGTGTCTCATCATGTGGCAAGGGGTTGGAAATTAGATAATCTTTACAGTCCCTTCGAACCCAAGACATTCTATGATTCTATGAATATCAAATTTGTATTCTTTAAAATATTTCAATATCTACCCCTCCTGCTGCTGAAGTCAGTGACAGTGTTTTAAGCCTGTCCATTACCAGCTGCTTTGCAGTATTCAATTTCTAGTGATTTACTTATCATATTTACCCGAGGTTAACATTAGTGCTTTATATTGAAAGCAAAAAATTAGGCTCAAACCAAAACTGGCTACATGCAAATACATAAAAAAGACAGACATCTAACTTCACATTTTCCACTAAGTTTTCTGTAGATGTGTCTGGGAGTAATATTACTAGTTCTATTAAAGCTACCTAATATATTTTGGAAATCTTTTAATCTTCATTTTATTATGCAAAGAATTCAGAAACTCAGAAGAAAAGCAATTTTTCTAACACAGGTAATTTAAACTAAAAGCTAGGCTTCTAGCAATAGAATTAGTCATAACAGAGCCTGGTTCATAAAATGATTGTAAGAACCAGTGACACCTAAGACAGACAAAATGCAACTATCTGGATAGTCAGTTGGAAACCTATTAATACTATTTGTTACACACACTTATTAAATTCATCAACATTACTTTTGAAATTTGACCCTTGCTTCTCATTGGTGATAAATCATCCATAGAGTCTCATACAATCTCTGACAGCTGCCTTTGAAATAATGACAAACTAAATATGTCCAACATCAACAAATCATAGTATCAATAAACTAAGTTTTAAAGAATTAGAATTATACCATATAGCTAAGAACACATTTTTTTTCTTAGCCCACCTTCAGAGATTTTCTGAAGGAAGTTAGGATTATACAACTCATTATCAGGCTGCATAACTTATGAAAATAGAAACATTGTGAAAGTACAGCTTTCTAACAAAAAAAATGCAATATGAATTTCTGCAAACAGTATTCTCATGACACTTATGTCCATAATACTGATAATCATGAAAGATTTATGTTTTTACAGATGAATTTCACAAAGTAATTTAAAAAAGGCTTTCAGTATTGAAACAGTATAATAATTGAAATTTCTGCATTTATTCTAATTTCTAAATCAAAAGTAAGAAATAACTGTTCAACAAACTGCCACTTCAAAATTTTGAAAACTTACCTGGTCATGGTAAGGAAAGATCCTACTACATCTGAAAATCAAGCTATGTTTAATATGGTGTTAGAATTAATACTAGCTTATAGTAGTGAAAAAGAAGAGAAAAATCTAGCTAGATCTAACTTTGGCACATACTTCAAATGCTATCTGTCTTCTGATCTTCAATACTTTTGCTGGGTATTTCAGATTGCCTTCCTCCTTACCATCCTCATGATAGTAACTCATACTTTGTCCCTAAAGAGAAATATAAAAATTAAATGTTAAACCCACAAGCTTAAGACCTCTTACCCTCTGAGTTTGCTGGGCTCCTCTTGCTTCTCAGTGTTACAGACACATGTGTAAACAACAGAATTTCCTGCATCCTTTTCTCATCTACACTGTACTGGGACTTGGCCAACTGGATTATTTACAGCATTAAGGCCACTCCACAATAACTTGAAAAAGATTCTCATTGGTCAGGCACTATCAAAACTAAAACCACATTTTTCTTTTAAGTACAAGTCATTCATACAAAATAAAGCTTTTTCCATACTGTTATTCACTAAGCATTGCTTTGTTCGGTTTTTATTTCTCCCTCCCTTTCTAAATTGAAGACTATGACCCCAGTCCCTCAAATATTATTTAAGCTGAAATTAATTATTTCAATCATAGTACCTAAGCACGGATGCTACTATCCAACCAGGTTGGATGGATTCTTATGCCACTGCTCGATCTTAGCATACCTCCTGAGTTTTAAATAACCTATAATAAGACTAATTTTCCCCTCAGCTAGACAACATACAGTCATACAAATCCATGTATTTTCATAATTAACTCAATAATTAGCCAGAGGCTGTTGGATAGTAGTATGAAAAAGTGGAGTATTCTAGGTTTTCAAAGATATGAAACGACCATGGCGAGGAAAGGCAAAAAACCATGGATTTTTAAAAGCTCAATTTGCATTAAAATTTACAGGTACAGTATTAAAATAGAAAGTAAGACACAGCTGAAATGATTTGCCATGCTTCTGGAAAGCTGAATATTTCTTACTAAAAAAACCCATCTCACAATATACATAATACTGACAATGCCTATTCAGACTGAGAAGTCAGATTTCTTTACTCTTAGCTTTAAGGGACATATCTCTACTTCCTTACTAACATCCCACCACATTTAGCATCAGTACAGCAGGTAGTCTTTTCATCGTGAATAGTAGCTATGGTTGCAGGACTCTTATCTGTTACTAAGAGTTTTTTCTTTTTTTTTTTCCATTTATTTTATGGAAATGAACAAGAAAATCCTCCCACTCTCATCAATAACATGAGCATTATGTGACTTCTGTGACTCACAAGATCTATTCCACTGCCAGAAGACAAAAGGCATTCAGTAAAATAGGTAGAAAATCCCTCTAAACATCTCCATTAAAAAATCTCCAACAACTAAAAGTCCCAAACCAAAGCAAAAACTCCCCCAAAACAAAAAGCAAAAAATTACTCCACACAAAACACCCCCAAACTAAAGTGAAAAAACCCACAAAACCCAAACCAAACCCCACAACAAAACCAAACCACAAGTCTGTATCAAATTTCAAACAACAAAAAACCCCAACCCAACAAAACCCAAATCCAAACAGTAAAATAAAGCAACAGCTACTTCATGCATCTCCCGTGACTTCTTTAGCAACTACATACATCTCATCTCCCACAAGAATACTCTCTGGCTACATTCCATTAACCCTACTGTAGGAAATTTCTTCATGTTTTAAAAATCAAGTTATATACACATCATAACTTAGACGTTATGTTATTCCCTTGTAACTATTCACATTTCAACCCATTCGTGAGATTTCTTTTCCACCATTCTTCACTTACTGCTATGTCTGAACACATCCAAGAAGTCTGTTCCATTGCCCATATTTAAACAAATTCTTGGTTTCTAAAGAAGTTTATGGACATTTAATTTGTCTGGGAGGAAGAAGAGTAACTTTGATCACAATTGAAAATATATTCACAGGCAAAAATCTATAACAGAGAATTTATCATTCAAAAATAAATAAATAAATACTCAGAAGTGTGAGTGCACCATACGAAGAAAGTAGTACTGTTGGAAGTACTGCTAAGTAAACGTTGTACTTTTTGCCATGGAAGTCTTAAAAATCCTCAAAGCCTCTTTTTCAGTTATTTTCTTATGGACAGCTGTTAAAAAAATAAAAATGAACCGCTGTCATTAACTACTGTTTTAGTCCAGGAAAAAAGAACACAAAACAGAATTATGTCTAATAAACAAATATTAATGCTATAAGCAAAACTCTGCTTCTATTCTGATATATTCTCTAGTAGTCACCAATTCTTGAAGGAATCTTAATTTTGTATCATTGTTAAAGATGCATTCAAACTTCATTAAAAAATTATACTGCAAGTTTGCTAAGTTACCATTGGATCAAATTATGCAATAACAAGTTTTCTAACCTTTAGGAAATCCATCATTGACTTTGACGAGAGAATCAAAGTTAAAAAAAACCCAAAACAACCAAAAAACCCCAAAAGTCAACAAAACCAAACACTTTTCATATTAAATAAGTTCATGAATTGCAACTTTTCATGAAGATTATTATTATTATTATTATTAGGGAAAGGTAGCAAGGAACATGACACACTTATGGTGCTACATTCGATAAGCAATTTTAAATGTTTATTAAAACAAATAAGTGGAACAGTCAGTGATTTTGCTAGAAAATATATTCTTCCTTTTCAGTCTCATTTGACCATTAACCTTGATGTAAAATCACTGTAATAATTACAGAACAAATGTTGCCAACATGCAAGCTTGCTAACAAGTGACCTTCACAGAGAAGAATTGTCTTCCTAGAAGACTCCATGTATGCAAACAATTCTCAGTTCATACTGAGAACATTCATATGCTCATCAAGAGAATGAGACTCTGGTCATTACTTTTGTAAGAAAATTCTATTGATAAAATATGATAAAGACTATAGACAGCATCAATAATCTAGAACATGCTTTCACACATGGCTTAGATGTCAACTGTGCTGTTGCACCCCTGACTAGAGTGGGATAGACTCCCTACACTTTGAGTACATTTAAACTTTGGAACCATGCCTGACCATCTTTTTTTCAAGATCCACAGAGAAGCATTAAGAGAACATGAAAGCCAAATTTTGAATTTTTAAATGTCAAGACTCATCCCTTTGGGGTCACAAAGGAAGAGACCTGATCCTTTTCAGAATTACTGAGACAATGAAGAAGATTAAATAATTCGTCTCAGAGGAAAAGGTTACAGCAAGTCTTTTTCAAAACATAAAAGTTAACTATATTTAATGTATTGATGCAATTTCCTTAGCAGATATAAGAAATTAAATCCCATTACTGTTCAAGCCAAAAACAATAAAGCACTTCAAGCACAAATGGAAATAAATCAAAACATTCCTATTAATTAAGCTGGAAAATAGAAAGGAGTATGAAACACTAAAAGTTTAACATTTTGAAATTGGGCTTCCTCAAGTATTCTCAAAAACCTCATAAATATGTCAGTTCTTTGCTGATGAAATTAATTTTTCATTACTATTTCATATTATTCCACACAATTTCATGAAAGTGGAACAATAAACATCGCAATGCATTTGAATATGTAAGGATAGCAGGTCATCCTTTACCGTACCTCAAACTAGGTGTATGTACTGTACCTCAAACAAGCTCCCTTAGATGCTGAAAATGCAATTTGATGTAGAAGGTACCTTCAAGGCATAAAGAAGGAGAAAATAGGGGCAGAAAAAATATAATTTTGAATCCCATGTCTCCAGCAGCATTAATGAAACCCAAATTTAAATAACAAAAAAGTAAACCTGTGAAGGCAAAATTAGCTACAGAAGGAATAAATCAGGACTATAGGGATGATATCTGTGAGAAGCTGCCAGAAGCTTCATGCATGCCCAACGAAGCCAATGTCAGCCAGCTCCAAGAGGGACCTGATGCTGACCACCCATGATGGTGGTAATGCCTCTGTGATAATGTATTTAAGAAGGGGGGAAAAAACCCTACCCTGCACAACAGCAATTGCACCCAGAGAGACGAGTGAGAATATGTGAGAGAAACAGCCCTGCAGACACCAAGGTCAGTAGAAAGTGGGGCAGGAGGTACTCCAGTCACTGGAGCAGAGTTTCCCCTGCAGTCTGTGGTGCAGACCATGGTGAGACATGCTATCCCCCTGCAGCCCCACCAAGGTCCACAGTGGACCAGATATCCTCCTCCAGCTCTACGCTGGAGTAGGTGGACGCCCAGGGAAGGCTACAACTGGAGCAGGCTTCTGGCAGGACCTGTGGCCCAGTGGAGAGAAGGAGCCCAGGCTGGCGGAGGTTTGCTGGCAGATTTGTGACCCTGCAAGAACTCACACGAGCTGCCTGTTCCTGAAGGACTGCATCCTGTACAAAGGACCCACATTAGAGCAACTTGTGAAAAACTGTAGCCTGTGGGAAGCACTCATGTTGGAGAAGGTCATAGAGGACTGTCTCTTGTTGCAGGGATCCCATGCTGGAGCAGGGGAAGAGTATGAGGAGTCCTCCCCCTTAAGAGGAAGGAACAGCAGAGACCTGTGATGAACTGACCACAGCTCCCATTTCCTGTCCCCCTGAGCCTCGTGGGGGAAGGAGGTAGAGAATTCAGGATTAAAGTTAATCCTGTCAAGGGTGGGGTGGGGGAAAAGTGCTTTTAAAATTTAGTTTAATTTCTCATTATCTTACTCTGATTTGATCGGGAAGAAATCAAAATTCCCCAAGTTGAGTCTCCTTTACCCTTGACAGTAATTGCTGAGTGATCTCTCCCCGTCCTTAATTCATAAGCCTTTTATTCTATTTTCTTTTCCCTGTGCAGCTGAAGAGGGGAGTGATAAGGTAGCTTTGGTGGGCACCTGGTGTCCAGCCAGGATCAATCCACCATAATGGGTTACACAAGCATACCAGGATTTCATGGATAAAACCACTGATGCATGTAACATCTCACTCCCAACTAACTTTAAAACAGATCATAAAACTTAAAAGCAAGACCAAACAGGAAGAAGTTTATTTAGAGGTAATCTTTCCTCAGCTTGTTAGTTTTCAGTTCTGACTTCACCTGTGCAAGTTAAATTGATTTGCAAGTGCAAACAGTGATAGCAGCTACATGTAGACAATTTATCTTGTACAGATCTATACTGCTGATTGAAATTAGAAGTGAAACAGGAAAAAACTATATATTGCATTCAACTGGTGTTGGGCTACTAATGCTTTTCCTGCTAATGTCTCTGCGTATGGCAGGGCAGGGGGTTTGGACTAGATAGCCTTTAAATGTTCCTTCCAACCCACGTTATTCGATGACTTAAAAGAATTTATGGAATTTG